CCGCACTCCAAAATGGTCCGAGAAGTGACAGAATGGAAGGACTCATTTTCTTATGGAGATTTACATGGGGGCTTGCTGTTGAAATCTTGCTGCACCTTTACTAACCACCTATACAATTCATATTGTTCTTATATTTTTTTCCTATAATTTTTAATAGACATCCAGTTCAGAAAATTTGAGTTGTGTTTCTCTGTTGAGTTTAACCCTATTACAACGTGCGAAATGGTTGTGTTCTGAGTCAAGACAAGTTTTAAATAAGGTGATTTACTGTTGGCTAGCCTGTATAACTGTGGGATATTTACGGAGTAGTGTAGGGGCCTGGCCATTCGTAAATAAGGCCAGCCCTTATTGAAAATTTATTAATATTTCTATAATCTTGTCATTGGATTGGCACTTTGGTGAATAATTGCGTGGCGTCCTATTTTCCACCTCTCGAACCCACCTGTGCAACTGAATAGCAGGGCCACCACAAGTGTCATAGCGGTTTACTCTGTGAACTTTCCTCAGTTTAGGCTAGTCTTTTAAAAGAGAATGAACGTCACGTAAACCTCATAACTTCACGAAGAAGTTTAGGTTACAGTTGTCTCATATTTGCTTGTAATATTAACAAAATGCATAATGCCTTGAAATCCGGACTCTAGTCATTACTAACCAGCATTCGCCCCTCTATACTGGTTAGTTCTCGTTTCCCTGTCTGTTATTTATTTCTAGGTCTGGCGTCTCTACATCTCGAATGGTAAAGCCTCGCGACGTGCGACGTCGTTACAACCATGAAATGATTATCCATTTTGGTGAAAATAAAGGTTGTATAGTCGTCTATTTGATGTCGCGCCTTAACGTCAAGACATCAATAACGACGTTGTTAGGACGTAAAAGTGCTGCTTGGGCAGTATTGACCGACTGAAATATTCACAACTTTTCTGATTTGATATCCCTATTTAGAGGCCAGCGAATTCAATCGGATCAGACTCTTGTGTGTGAGCGCTTGCTTCGATGCCTGAGTACAGACTGAGTTATAATTAATGAAACCACTGTTTAAGTAGCCACCGCCGGTTTGATTAAAAACCACGACCATATTTCTTGAGCTCTAATCTGACTTTGATCTCTTCTTCTCTGAAATTAACCGGCCTTGCTTCTTGATCAAGTATATTGATTGTTTTATTATCGAGTTTGTTTCTATTGAATGGTAGATAGATCAACTTTCGAGGATCTATTTTAATTCTATATCCAGAATTCACAGCTGGTGTAAACTCGTAGATCGTGTGGGACGGATAACTAGTGTAGTAGGAGCCTGAGACGATGTTGCACTTAATCCTTATAGTCGTCACTGATATAATCTCTACGGGCAGATCGGATTTGTGTAAATAATTCGCTTGCAGAGATTTTACTGGAAATCCCAAAAATTTTCCAATACTATCTTTGGGCTTGAAATTAATATCGTATATTATGCACTTTAGCATACACCTTAATGTTTTAGTGTTTGGTTTAAGAGAAATCACTTCCGTTGAAGTTGTACTTGATTCGTTTAGTAGATAGGCTTCAAAATCGGGAACCTCGTACGATACAGTTGGAATTTCCATTTTTTTTCCTCTCCTTTCTCGATAGAGTAGAACTTGTTTCGGCCTGGTTCAAAGTTGGGAATAGAATTCCAAGTAGTGAGTGAGAAGAGAGCTATAGTGAGTAGCTAGAACCAGGAACGAGCTCGATAGGTGGAGTAAAGTAAACGGTCAAGCAACTGGTTACTGGTTTGACCTTTTAACGTGAATGTCTAACATAACTGCACTTTAATAATCTTACGAGCTGCCTGAAGAGCTGATTCAATAAAGTCTTCTGTTGCTCTCCCACGATGCTTCACTTGATTTCTAATATTAGAAACAACGAAGGATTTGAAGGGTTTCAATATTTTCGGTCGAACCATACCGAGTTTACGTTTAGCTTTCATTGCAGTAGTTTCGAACCAAGCAACAATCTTTTCGCTGAAATTGGAATATTTAGCCTTCACTCGTTCCCACAATTTATTCGAAATAATCGGAGGACTTAATTGAATCATACATATATTATATCGGGTCTTCAAAAAAAAAACAATCAAAGATTGCTATGGTTTTTTAAACGTATGTCTTAGCAATATTTTTCTTTAATTTTGTCAATGAACTTTATTGTCAAAATGGCATGTCAAAAATCCTGACCAATAAAGAAACAATAATGCGACGTACGTTTTTGTAGTCAAAGCAATCTTTGATTGTTTTTTTTTGAAGACCCGATATTAGTACATGAACAAATAGGTCAAATGTTTATAAAAAACGTTTTTATGTAAAATTTCATTGCCAACAATATTCATTACTATGATTTTTAACCTTTAAACAACGAGTTTTGAGAACATTGAGAAAAAAACTGCACCAAGTACGAGTTAAGGAAAATAAGGGATGTTGCGAACAATATTCGGAGGGGAACTTTTTGCGGTTTTGTTCCTACTCCTATATGTGAACATCAGATCCATGCACGTGAAATGAGAACTTTGTAATTTTTTTTTTCCTAAAAGTAATTACTATTTACGCGTACTGTCAGTCGAATTCTATTTTAGAAATCTATTCGGGAATGTTCGACTTTCGTTAGGGATATTTGCGATATTAGGTAGTCGCCATAGAAATAAAAAAGAAAAGAAGAAATAATTAGGATATAACTCAGAAATGTTTTATTTGTTAACTTAGAGGTTGATATCAATTGTATTTTAATTTGTATTTGGATAGTTAGGACTATTTTTGAGTGTATCAATGATTATTAATAAAAGTTTGGAAAATGCTACCTCGCACCTTCTTCTGGCAAATCAAGAAGAACGAACGGGTCAGTTAAGTTAGCCCCCCCGTCCACTGAATTTTTCTAAATGAAACATATGCCCTAATTTTGCTCCCATTTCGCTCCACCAATTATAATTTTTGGTCCACCACAGTGGAGAGACTATGCGACCTATTGAGTAGGGGGAGGGGAGGGAGCAAATTAACGCTATCCCCCCCAGTGATATTTTTGAAGTTTTTTTATGCTTATTGTATTCTCCAAGTTTTGCTCCATTTCGCTCCATATCGGTGAGTTTTGCTCCATTACCAGGAATGAGGTACTAGAGCTCCCAATAATCTCTCCCAGCCCCCCAAGTGAAAATTTATGCTCATTTTATTCTCCAAGTTTTGCTCCATTTTCCTCCATGATCGGCAAGTTTTGCTCCATTACCTGGAATGAGGTACTAGAGCTTCCAATAATCTCTCCCAGCCACCCCAAACAAAATTTCGAAGTTTTTTTATGCTCATTTTATTGTCCAAGTTTTGCTCCATTTTGCTCCATTTTGCTCCATAATCGGCGAGTTTGGCTCCATTACCTGGAATAAGCTATAGAGCTCCTAAAAATCTCTCCTAGCCCCCCTCCCCAGTGATTTTTTTTTTAAATTTTTGGTGACACCAAGTATTTATATTTTGTAACTCCGCTATAATCGAATTCTATTCAAAGAACCAGTGCAAAACAAAATATTTCTATCATTGTTTGTTACATAGTAGTAGAAGGAGATACATTTACACGTGTCCACTAAATGAACCAATAGAATTGCACCTTTGCAAAAAAAAAATATATATATATATATATATATATATATATATATATATATATATATATATATATATATATATATATTTAAGGCTCTAAACCAGCAGTTTATACATATATGTAGGCATAGCATAATGAACTTGTGCTCCTCTCTTATCTCTATCAAACTTAAGAACCTGGTTTTTTCAGGCTATAATTTCATAATAAATCTACAAACATGAAAATTTTCTTTTATTTCAAAAATCCAATGCGCTAAGTTACCCTACGATTACTGCGTACTGAAATAATTTCAGTCTTTTTCTGGTAGCACATGAAAGAAAAGGATCAAAAATATATATATTTTTCCTCAATTGGTTTTCAGCCGGATTCTCCCCCCCCCCCCCCACTTAATAGGCCACGTAGTCTCTTTGGTGGAGCAAAATGGGAGCATTCATTTAGAAAAATTCAGTGCCCCCCCCCCCCCCCCCCACTTAACTTAACTGACCCAGAACTTTTTTGAAAATGTCTATTTGGAGAGAATAGTGATGAGAAACAATAGTGATCCTTTTGCTTTAACACATAAACAATTTGTGGGTTTGATTAAGCAAATAATTCGTCTATTTTCTATAATAGTCGAGCTGTGAAAAGGATTTTTACTTCACTTAAATTTATTTGTAATAATGTTGGTATGAATCTCTGCGTACTCCAAAAATAAATCTCGAGTGATCTTGGGTATCACGCATCTTTCTTTTATCCATTTTTTGTAAATTACCAAAATAATCCAAATAAAAAATTAAAAAATTAAAGAAAAGTCGATCGAAGTTCATTGTCAATAAATAACTGAAATTATAGGGTAGCGAACACAATTACACAAATGCACAATCTTGACGCAGAGGGCATCTTTTTTTTAGTTGTCTCACCCTAACTCATTTTCGACGATGCAATTCGATACCAACGAATTTTCGTTTCCAGGTGATTAGCCGCGATTCTACAAGCAGGGTAGAAGGAGCACATTAGAAATCTGTATCAGTGCCAACTTTTCGGAAGTGATGTCACTTTTTTGAGCGAAAATATCAATCAGGGTCCCCTATCTGGCTTGGATCAAAATGGGAAAGTATAAAAAAGTAAATATATACGAACTATAAATACATTCGACTGTAAAAGATGAAAAATATAATTAGGAAACAAATGGACGGCATGGATGCTGACATCAGTTTATCATTCTAGATCAATAACATAAAACGGATTGTCCAACAGAAATCTATCCACAAACCGTATTTCTCTTGAAACATGAGTCTTTACTTACCAGTAAGCCTTTCCAAAAGACTATCAGGCGTAGCATAACGTACTTGTGGTATTTTGCAAGAATTTAGAGTATTAGAAAATCTTGTATCTGGTGTATCATGGAATAAGTTTGGATCGTTCCTTATATATTAAGGAAGATTAATTGAGCTAGTATTCGCCATCAACGGCTTAAAAATTTCTCTAAATTGAGCATTATTCATGCAATTAGCTAAATCAGAAATCCATGCTGCTTTGTCGCTTAATGTAGGAGCCACAAAGTGAATTACCACCTAGAATATAATAAAAGTTATAATTTTGTAATTGGAATAAAAATGTTTTTTTTTTTTTTACGGGGGTCACCAAATTTTTGCTGCTTAGAACAACTTTAAAATCTCGACCCTGGTAAGAAGTATCTTGTTCAGTTGTCACCGAGGAAGCAGATTCGCATGGTCTTTCTGAAATGAGAAAACGATTAGAGTCCAAGGTTTTGATATTAAAACTCAAAATGAGACTTCAGTGTTTTTTTTTATCGGTGTATAAACGCTAAGCCTAATCAATTTTGAATTATAACACAAATAAAAGTTCAAAATATTCTAGTTTAAGGTTTGTTTTAGTGGCAGCAATAGGAACTCACCAAGGGTGGACTCTTCATTTGGCTCTTCAATTAAACTAGCCTCACTCATGGGTATTTTTCCAACATTTGGCTCTAGATGCAACTTTCCATCGCTGCCCCTTTGCAAAAAAAAAAAAAAATAGAAACCTATAAATATTTTTCAAAAGGCGTGTTCAACTTACCTGGTAGTGACAATCAAATGGTAACTAAACAAAAAGCACTCTCTCGCAACGTCTTTATCTGATCGACGAAATGATTCAAATTTTTTAAAGGTGACTCTTTCTTTCGGCTTTTCAATCAAAATTTGTATTAAATCACCTTTCCTTACAAAAGTTTGCTCGACGTCTAATAAAATGTCGCAACCTTCAACAATCATTCATTCTACAGCCAAATTTTTCCGAAGGTTTTCTGTTTCTGAGACTTCATCGTGTATTTGTTTAGATAAATTCTCAAGTTGAGCTAATACTGCTTCTAATGTTTTTCTTTCGACATGTTCAAATGGAGTGTGAGCCAGAAGTTCGCGAAGGATTCTTATGTATCTTGGAACCTAAAAAGTAGTTTTAATTTTTGGGAAATTTTAAAAACGTGTTCACTAAATACACTTCGCATAGGATAATTCAAAAACGTCTCCAAAGATCTGAATTTACACATTGGCTTGGATTCTAATCTTTTCAAATATGCGGCAAATGGTTGGATTTTCTTACATTCAGTTAGTACTTGTAAGGAATAGTGATGGTTCCGGACATATTCCTGGTAAATATTTAACTTAGGAAGAAGCATGGTCAATAATAAATCACCTAAAACACAAGTTATTTAAATATTTAGGTATGAATGAGATCAAGTCTGTACCTAAAACCAATGGAGGACTACTCTCTAATCTAGCAGTTAAACCTTCCAGAAAAATCTGATGCAACAAAAGAAGAGCCTCGCTATTCAAACAAATTGAATTGACATCATCGAGAGTGCACGAAGGTTTCTTTGAAGAAGCAGCCATTTTCAATGGTCTTGAAAAGCAAGTTATCAATACTGCTATTTGTTGAACATATTGTTTTTCGCCTTCAAGAAATTCTAATACACAAGTGTACCTTTTTCTGAGCCCTTCAGAAAAGGGGCTTTTAATATACTGTTCAACAACCTGTTTCCATTTTCTGCGACGTAACCATCCATGAATGAAACTTTGTATTTTTCTCAGTTTAGCCAATTTTTGTTCATCGTCTTCATATAGGCAGAAAAGGCATCCTGATTCTTCAACGTTCATACATGTATGAACCATGTTAGAAATAGAACGTTCAACGGTTCTTTCCCTTTTTATTAGAGCCAGCTTTAATAATAAATAATAATAATTCAAAACCGATAAATATGAGCAATATATGAACCCTAGAGCTAATGTAAACTTTTGTATTGAACGTATTGCGTATGACGAGCATTTTTTTAAAAGCGACAAAAAGTTTTTAGAAAACCTTCCATGGTATTTTTTATCTAAAACATTATTTGTGTAAACAGAATATTCTCCAGAAGCAAACATCTCAATACAAGCGTTTAGTGTAGAAATCAACTCATTAGGAATATTATTTTTTAGACAAAAAGGTAGAGTTGAGAAATAAATACAAAGTACCTACATTCCATCGTCTAATGAGACATCAAGATACCGTTTGGACAGAATAGGGAGTTATGAGGCGCGTAATAAGGAGAAACAATAATATTATCAGGATATCAGCTACCATTATTATTTTTATTTCCTACTGAACTATTATAACCATATAATACCTTGGTTACGATAATCATAAACAGGGTCTTAACTCCCAAGGGAGTTAAGGATTTCATAACTCCCGCGCGGGAGTTAAGGATATCATAACTCCCAAGGGAGTTAAGTATTTCCATAACTCCCGCTTTTACCTTGAATAGGTAAACCTTTGACAAAAAATAGATATTTTGGTTGATGGTTTATTTCTTTGTAAAAATGGACAAAATGCAGTAATTTCATATTGCCTGCCTATATGAAGACGATGAACAAAAATTGGCTAAACTGAGAAAAATGCAAAGTTTCATTCATGGATGGTTACGTCGCAGAAAATGGAAACAGGTTGTTGAATAATATATTAAAAGCCCCCTTTCTGAAGGGCTCAGAAAAAGGTACACTTGTGTATTAGAATTTCTTGAAGGCGAAAAACAATATGTTCAACAAATAGAAGTATTGATAACTTGCTTTTCAAGACCATTGAAAATGGCTGCTTCTTCAAAGAAACCTTCGTGCACTCTCGATGATGGCAATTCAATTTGTTTGAATAGCGAGGCTCTTCTTTTGTTGCATCAGATTTTTCTGGAAGGTTTAACTGCTAGATTAGAGAGTAGTCCTCCATTGGTTTTAGGTACAGACTTGATCTCATTCATACCTAAATATTTAAATAACTTGTATTCTAGGTGATTTATTATTGACCATGCTTCTTCCTAAGTTAAATATTTACCAGGAATATGTCCGGAACCATCACTATTCCTTACAAGTACTAACTGAATGTATGAAAATCCAACCATTTGCCGCATATTTGAAAATATTAGAATCCAAGCCAATGTGTAAATGCAGATCTTTGGAGACGTTTTTGAATTATCCTATGCAAAGTGTAATTAGTGAACACGTTTTTAAAATTTCCCAAAAATGAAAACTCCTTTTTAGGTTCCAAGATACATAAGAACCCTTCGCGAACTTCTGGCTCACACTCCACTTGAACATGTCGAAAGAAAAACATTAGAAGCAGTATTAGCTCAACTTGAGAATTTATCTAAACAAATACACGATGAAGTCTCAGAAACCGAAAACCTTCGGAAAAATTTGGCTGTAGAACGAATGATTGTTGAAGGTTGCGACATTTTATTAGACGTCGAGCAAACTTTTGTGAGAAAAGGTGATTTAATACAAATTTTGATTGAAAAGCCAAAAGAAAGAGTCACCTTTAAAAAAATTGAATCATTTCGTCGGTCAGATAAAGACGTTGCGAGAGAGTGCTTTTTGTTTAGTTACCATTTGATTGTCACTACCAGGTAAGTTGGACACGCTTTTTGAAAAATATTTATAGGTTTCTATTTTTTTTTTTTTTGCAAAGGGGCAGCGATGGAAAGTTGCATCGAGACACCGATAAAAAAAAACACTGAATTCCCATTTTGAGTTTTAATATCAAAACCTTGGACACTAATCGTTTTCTCATTTCAGACAGACCATGCGAATCTGCTTCCTCGGTGACAACTGAACAAGATACTTCTTACCAGGGTCGAGATTTTAAAGTTGTTGTTCTATGCAGTAAAAATTTGGTGACCCCGGTAAAAAAAAAAAAAAACATTTTTATTCCAATTACAAAATTATAACTTTTATTATATTCTAGGTGGTAATTCACTTTGTGGCTCCTACATTAAGCGACAAAGCAGCATGGATTTCTGATTTAGCTAATTGCATGAATAATGCCCAATTTAGAGAAATTTGTAAGCCGTTGATGGCGAATACTAGCTCAATTAATCTTCCTTAATATATAAGGAACGATCCAAACTTATTCCATGATACACCAGATACAAGATTTTCTAATACTCTAAATTCTTGCAAAATACCACAAGTACGTTATGCTACGCCTGATAGTCTTTTGGAAAGGCTTACTGGTAAGTAAAGACTCGTGTATCAAGAGAAATACGGTTTGTGGATAGATTTCTGTTGGACAATCCGTTTTATGTTATTGATCTAGAATGATAAACTGATGTCAGCATACATGCCGTCCATTTGTTTCCTAATTATATTTTTCATCTTTTACAGTCGAATGTATTTATAGTTCGTATATATTTACTTTTTTATACTTTCTCATTTTGATCCAAGCCAGATAGGGGAACCTGATTGATATTTTCGCTCAGAAAAGTGACATCACTTCCGAAAAGTTGGCACTGATACAGATTTCTAATGTGCTCCTTCTACCCTGCTTGTAGAATCGCGGCGAATCACCTGGAAACGAAAATTCGTAGGTATCGAATTGCATCATCGAAAATGAGTTAGGGTGAGACAACTAAAAAAAAGATGCCCTCTGCGTCAAGATTGTGCATTTGTGTAATTGTGTTTGCTACCCTATAATTTCAGTTATTTATTGACAATGAACTTCGATCGACTTTTCTTTAATTTTTTATTTGGATTATTTTGGTAATTTACAAAAAATGGATAAAAGAAAGATGCGTGTTACCCAAGATCACTCGAGATTGATTTTTGGAGTACGCAGAGATTCATACCGACATTATTACAAATAAATTTAAGTGAAGTAAAAATCCTTTTCACAGCTTGTCTATTATAGAAAATAGATGAATTATTTGCTTAATCAAACCCACAAATTGTTTATCTGTTAAAGCAAAAGGATCACTATTGTTTCTCATCACTATTCTCTCCAAATAGACATTTTCAAAAAAGTTCTGGGTCAGTTAAGTTAAGTGGGGGGGGGGGCACTGAATTTTTCTAAATGAATGCTCCCATTTTGCTCCACCAAAGAGAGTACGTGGCCTAATAAGTGGGGGGGAGAATCCGGCTGAAAACCAATTGAGGAAAAATATATATATTTTTGATCCTTTTCTTTCATGTGCTACCAGAAAAAGACTAAAATAATTTCAGTACGCAGTAATCGTAGAGTAACTTAGCGCATTGGATTTTTAAAATAAAAGACAATTTTCATGTTTGTAGATTTATTATGAAATTATAGCCTGAAAAAAAACAGGTTCTTAAATTTGATAGAGATAAGAGAGGAGCACAAGTTCATTATGCTATGCCTACATAAATGTATAAACTGCTGGTTTAGAGCCTTAAATATATGTATTTTTTTTTTTTTGTTTTTTGCAAAGTTGCAATTCTATTGGTTAATTTAGTGGACACGTGTAATTGTATCTCCTTCTACTACTATGTAACAAACAATGATAGAAATATTTTGTTCTGCACTGGTTCTTTGAATAGAATTCGATTATAGCGTGTCACCAAAAATTAAAAAAAAAATCACTGGGGTGGGGGGGCTAGGAGAGATTTTTGGGAGCTCTATAGCTTATTCCAGGTAATGGAGCCAAACTCGCCGGTCATGGAGCAAAATGGAGCAAAATGGAGCAAAACTTGGACAATAAAATGAGCATTAAAAAACTTCGAAATTTTGTTTGGGGTGGCTGGGAGAGATTATTGGGAGCTCTAGTACCTCATTCCAGGTAATGGAGCAAAACTTGCCGATCATGGAGGAAAATGGAGCAAAACTTGGAGAATAAAATGAGCATAAGTTTTCACTGGGGGGGCTGGGAGAGATTATTGGGAGCTCTGGTACCTCATTCCTGGTAATGGAGCAAAACTCGCCGATATGGAACGAAATGGAGCGAAATGGAGCCAAACTTGGAGAATACAATAAGCATAAAAAAACTTCAAAAATATCACTGGGGGGGATAGCGTTAATTTGCTCCCTCCCCCCACTCAATAGGTCACATAGTCACTCCACTGTGGTGGACCAAAAATTATAATTGGTGGAGCGAAATGGGAGCAAAATTAGGGGATATGTTTCATTTAGAAAAATTCAGTGGACGGGGGGGCTAACTTAACTGACCCGTTCGTTCTTCTTGATTTGCCAGAAGAAGGTGCGAGGTAGCATTTTCCAAACTTTTATTAATAATCATTGATACACTCAAAAATAGTACTAACTATCCAAATACAAATTAAAATAAAATTGATATCAACCTCTAAGTTAACAAACAAAACATTTCTGAGTTATATCCTAATTATTTCTTCTTTTCTTCTTTATTTCTATGGCGACTACCAAATATCGCAAATATCCCTAACGAAAGTCGAACATTTCCGAATAGATTTCTAAAATAGAATTCGACTGACAGTACGCGTAAATAGTAATTACTTTTAAGAAGAAAAAAAATAAAAAGTTCTCATTTCACGTGCATGGATCTGATGTTCACATATAGGAGTAGGAACAAAACCGCAAAAAGTTCCCCTCCGAATATTGTTCGCAACATCCCTTATTTTCCTTAACTCGTACTTGGTGCCGTTTTATTCTCAATGTTCTCGAAACTCGTTGTTTAAAGGTTAAAAATCATAGTAATGAATATTGTTGGCAATGAAATTTTACCTAAAAACGTTTTTTATAAGCATTTGACCTATTTGTTCATGTACTAATATCGGGTCTTCAAAAAAAAAAAAAACAATCAAAGATTGCTTTGACTACAAAAACGTACGTCGCATTATTGTTTCTTTATTGGTCAGGATTTTTGACATGCCATTTTGACAATAAAGTTCATTGACAAAATTAAAGAAAAATATTGCTAGGACATACGTTTAAAAAACCATAGCAATCTTTGATTGGTTTTTGAAGACCCGATATAATATATGTATGATTCAATTAAGTCCTCCGATTATTTCGAATAAATTGTGGGAACGAGTGAAGGCTAAATATTCCAGTTTCGGCGAAAAGATTGCTGCTTGGTTCGAAACTACTGCAATGAAAGCTAAACGTAAACTCGGTATGGGTCGACCGAAAATATTGAAACCTTCAAATCCTTCGTTGTTTCTTATATTAGAAATCAAGTGAAGCATCGTGGGAGAGCAACAGAAGACTTTATTGATTCAGCTCTTCAGGCAGCTCGTAAGATTATTAAAGTGCAGTTATGTTAGACATTCACGTTAAAAGGTCAAACCAGTAACCAGTTGCTTGACCGTTGACTTTACTCCACCTATCGAGCTCGATCCTGGTTCTAGCTACTCACTATAGCTCTCATCTCACTCACTACTTGGAATTCTATTCCCAACTTTGAACCAGGCCGAAACAAGTTCTACTCTATCGAGAAAGGAGAGGAAAAGAAATTGAAAATTCCAACTGTATCGTACGAGGTTCCCGATTTTGAAGCCTATCTACTAAACGAATCAAGTACAACTTCAACGGAAGTGATTTCTCTTAAACCAAACACTAAAACATTAAGGTGTATGCTAAAGTGCATATACGATATTAATTTCAAGCCCAAGGATAGTATTGGAAAACTTTTGGGATTTCCAGGAAAATCTCTGCAGGCGAATTATTTACACGAATCCGATCTGCCCGTAGAGATTATATCAGTGACGACTATAAGGATTAAGTGCAACATCGTCTCAGGCTCCTACTACACTAGTTATCCGTCCCACACGATCTACGAGTTTACACCAGCTGTGAATTCTGGATATAGAATTAAAATAGATCCTCGAAAGTTGATCTATCTACCTTTCAATAGAAAGAAAATGGATAATAAAACAATCAATTACTTGATCAAGAAGCAAGGCCGGTTAATTTCAAAGGAGAAGAGATCAAAGTGAGATTAGAGCTCAAGAAATATGGTCGTGGTTTTTAATCAAACCGGCGGTGGCTACTTAAACAGTGGTTTCAATATTTATAACTCAGTCTGTACTCAGGCATCGAAGCAAGCGCTCACACACAAGAGTCTGATCCGATTGAATTCGCTGGCCTCTAAATAGGGATATCACATCAGAAAAGTTGTGAATATTTCAGTCGGTCAATACTGCCCAAGCAGCACTTTTACGTCCTAACAACGTCGTTATTGATGTCTTGACGTTAAGGCGCGACGTCAAATAGACGACTATACAAGCTTTATTTTCACCAAAATGGATAATCATTTCATGGTTGTAACGACGTCGCACGTCGCGAGGCTTTACCATTCGAGATGTAGAGACGCCAGACCTAGAAATAAATAACAGACAGGGAAACGAGAACTAACCAGTATAGAGGGGCGAATGCTGGTTAATAATGACTAGAGTCCGGATTTCAAGGCATCATGCATTTTGTTAATATTACAAGCAAATATGAGACAACTGTAACCTAAACTTCTTCGTGAAGTTATGAGGTTTACGTGACTTTCATTCTCTTTTAAAAGACTAGCCTAAACTGAGGAAAGTTCACAGAGTAAACCGCTATGACACTTGTGGTGGCCCTGTTATTCAGTTGCACAAGTGGGTTCGAGAGGTGGAAAATAGGACGCCACGCAATTATTCACCAAAGTGCCAATCCAATGACAAGATTATAGAAATATTAATACATTTTCAATAAGGAATGGCCTTAATTACGAATGGCCAGGCCCCTACACAACTCCGTAAATATCCCACAGTTATACAGGCTAGCCAACAGTAAATTACCTTATTTTAAACCTGGCTTGACTCAGAACACAACCATTTCGCATGCTGTAATAGGGTTAAACTCAACAGAGAAACACAAATTTTCTGAACTGGATGTCTATTCAAAATTATAGGAAAAAAATATATGAACAATATGAATTGTATAGGTGGTTAGTAAAGGTGCAACAAGATTTCAACAGCAAGCCCCCATGTAAATCTCCATAAGAAAATGAGTCCTTCCATTCTGTCACTTTTCGGACCATTTTGGAGTGCGGGTAAAATTTCCAGGAATAAGCCCCATCCCCTTTCCAGCGCCCAGGTATGCATCGACTGGTCTGCATCGTCGATTGATATCGGCTCAGGGAAATA